TWRGSTTTCTCAGATGTTCATCTTTTAGTTCCTTAAGCTGAAGCCTTCTGAAGTYTTCCAGTGAGCGTGTTTTAGAAATAACAGCAAAGTAACCAGGATGATTTTTTATTTGTCTCCATTTCTCTTCTCTTTGGCAAGCRAAACAGTTTTTTGARGGAAAGCATTAGTGAAATGGTCTTTATTGATGTGGTACCTCTGTTCTCTCACTGAAGTGCAACTGCTCTGTAATTTTGGTTGTACATCATTTTGCTTTTCCTTTCGTCAGAAGGAATTCTGTTTGCTTCCTTCCATTAGATAAATGAGGACAAATCTGTAGGTTGGGAGCAGAGGGAGATTCAGAGCAGTGGGCCCAGCGTGCCCATCGTATACGTGGGCAGCACAGCAGAAATGACAAGGCTGGTTCAAAAGCAGCATGGAAAGATGAAAAAGATGAAGAGAGAGCAGCAGACATGAAGGATGCTGTTTTGCCTGAGGAAAACACTGCTATCCATAAGATATTTAAAGACAGGACTTGTGTACAGGATGAAGGGATCTCAGAAACAAAACACAGATGGCTTCTAAGCTCTGAAACACAAACAGCTGCTGAATCCTGGAGGTTACTCAACTTCTCGGTGCTCTCRCATTTCAGACTGTATGCCTATCCTGAAAAAAAACCTTGTATTCAGCCAACTTCTGTCCAGCTGAACTGTGGCTCAGAAGCCAAGGGGTGTTAKACTGCAAGATTTAAGGCTGTTTTTATGTTTGTGCTCTTAAATGTTCCTCACAAAGTGGACAGTGCTGCTGGCATGTAACTAAAGGTGTGGGTGCTGCATGGGGAAGTGRCATTCTTTTGCAGAAGGCTTTTGAGAGCTCTTACACTTTGATTGGATTTTTATTTCTGAGAGGAACCTTTCATAGTTCTGGGTGCTGATGCTCCAGTACAACCCCAGCAAGTTTGTGCTGGCAGCTGATGGGGAGCACAGTGGCTGATGAGTTGGGGAGCAGGGCCACGAATCCAGGGGACCCTGAGGGGCTCCCAGTTGAGAGATGAGAGGTTCTGATCCTGACCCTGGGATGTGACAGCTGCACAGGAGGATGGGCTGGGGAAGGATTTGCTAGGTGCTGGAAGCAGAATGTGCGTCAGCAATGTGTCCTTGTGGCATTGAAGGCCATTGAAGGCCAGCACAAGCGTGGCCAGCAGGATCAGGGGAGGGTTGTCTTCCTCTCTTTGGTTCTTGGGGTTCTGGAGTGCTGTGTCCTGTTTGGGCTCTTTGGTACGAAAAGGATTGTGTCAAACTGAACTGACCAAGGTGGTCAGGGCTGGAGAATGTGATGTGTGAGGAGATACTTAGGGAGCTGGTTTTGTTCATCTGGTACAAAAAAGAATCATGGAAGGATCCTAGAGCTATCTTGAGGCACTGGTGAGAGCATGGAGATGGCCAGGCTCATTTTGGGGAGAGCAGAGAGATAGGATTAAGGACAGGAAATTCCTCTTAGATATTTAGGGGAAAAAATTGTATTGAAGATTGTCAGTCATTGCAGCAGGGATTCAGTCTGAAACATCCATCCTTGGAGATACTGAGAGWGTGCCTGAGTAATTCCCTGACTCCCTGGAATGAAGTCAGCCCTCCTGTGAGGGGCTTGGGGGCGGCTGATGGACCAGATGACTTTGTAGATGTGCTGTTTTATATTCCATGGAGAACTGTTTTAGCAGAGACATGGAAATACAGCTTGGCTGAAGAATRTAGTTAAATATGTTACCAGGATTGGAATGTATTCATTGAGGAAATCCACACATGGAGAAGATGGAGTTAACAGCAGTTAGAAAASTGTCCTTGAGAATGTGTGTGAACCTGGACTGAAACCACCCCAGGAATTTAGATTTTTAATGGGTTTGAGAATGTTGCTTTGCTGCTTTTCTGAAAAACAAATTAAAAAGAGGTTGACAGGAAATACGTTGATTGTTGGGAACGTACATTCTCTAATTTGAGGACTTCTCTGGCACCTTTTAATCATCCAGAGAGTAAGGGAAGAAAAGAACTCAGACACTACAGAAAAATTTTGACTGAGCAAGCAGTTTAGAAATACTCACAGAACATATTTAATTCAAAGTGTTGAATTTGTATTCAGAAATAAATGTAGAGGAAATAAGCTGAGGATGCTGGAGGAGAAATTTGACTTCCTAAACGTAGCTGGTAAAGGCTTTGGGTAAATATAATTGCTTTCATGTTTTTTTCTTGTTGCCTTGCAGGTAGGTTTGAAAATTCTCTGCTCTGTTCCTGAAGCAGAATAGAGACTCGCTTTAATAAAGAAGCATCAATTTTGCTGTGTTCCATATTGCTTGGATACAGAGGGAGGATCCTTCCCTCCTTGWGTTCCCCAGTGCTACCAGAGTTAAATTGGTGAGAGACTGCAGGGCTCCCATTAATCTGCCCCACTGCTGCTGCCTGGGGTTTGTGGCCTCTGTCCTCTTCTTTGGATATTGTCCTTTGATAACTGTCYTGGTTGGATCTCTGCATGCGGGGTGCAAAAATAACTCTCCCATAAAATTTGAATTAACAGCAAGAATACAAGCAGCGATACTGGTTGGGTAATAGATTGAAGCTTGACTTAAAAAAAAAAAACAACTTTAAAATCCCCCAAAAACTCAAACCCAACCAAGCAAAAACAATCAAACTCAATCCCAACCAAACGAGAACAATCCCCCAAACCACCAAACAACTATTTTTTTTCTTTATACCATGGGAAAACAATTACAAATTTTAGGAGAACTATAAAAATTGCTTACTTGACATTACCAGCAACAGATGCATTTATGCATTACAAAATACTCCTTTTAAAACACAGAAACTTGCCCCCAAATATGCTTATAGTTCTGTAATAAGGCATGAAACTAAAAAATGGTAGTCATTGGGTCTAGATGGTGATGGAGCCTTTCTTTCTCGTGAGCTACAGTTTTACTTCATGATGAAAAGTGGTTCTGGCAGAGTCCATGTCCACTTGTGTTCCAGGTGTTGCTCCAGGGATGCTCAGCAGCAGCTGGGTGTTCATGCTCCTCTTTGAGTGCTCACATTTAATTCTGTCAGCCTGGGTTAGGTAACTTCCAAAATTGGAGTTTTCATCGGAGTCRTTCAGGTTTGCTATTAAATTTCATGTGAGCCAACAAAGCCTTTCCAGGCAGGCCTGACATTTTGGCAAGGCCCCAGTAGGATTTTTAGCTGGTGCCAAATCTTTTATTTTTCCCGGCTATCAATGAAGCTGTTGTGGTAATGTGGGTTTTGTGAGCTGTGAGAATTTATGTGCACAAAGGGACCTGCTCTTTGCAGGGAACACTGGGAGCCCTGAGTCCAGGAGGAAGGGTAATTAAAGTTAATGAACCAGGGTAACCTTTCCATGGTGATGACCACTATCCTGATGGTAGGTGAGGGTCAGGGACTAGTCCCATTTTATAGTCACGCTCAAACTCCGTTCTTTAATTRGTGTTGGATTAAAAATTGGCCATTACCTCCATAATAGAAGTGGTTTGTGGATTTTAAAGGAGTTTTTCAAAGCTCTGCAAGTCTTGAGGAGCTTGTTCTTCTTGGACTTGGCTTTGTGTTGTGTTTTAATGCAGTCTAATAATGAAGTATTTTTAGCATTTGAGACCAGATAGTGCTGTTTCTATAATGGGAGCAGTTTGGTTATCTCTCTGTGGCAGAACAGAAACTCCTTTCTTAAATGCTTCCCCTCTTCAAAGGYTTCATCTGGTTTTATCAGTGAGTCTGGGAAGCCTTAGAACTTGCTGTACACAGAGCAGTTGTGGGTTTGAGGTGACAGCCCTGAAACACTGACTTAAATTTGTATCTCTCCTAATCACTGGCTTTTGTGGCATCAGGTAAGTTACTTTATGCAAGGTATTTGCCTTGAAGAGGATTTTGTAATTGAAGTAGGTTTTTTCCTGTCTGAAGGATGAACTAAACAAAAAAACTTTGCTGCTGCTATCTCAGAAATCTTGTTGATGTATAAATCTTCCACCAAGCAGGGCACAGGCTGAGATGTCATTGACAGACTGCATGCACAGGATCCAAAATGTTAAATATTGTTCATTTGTCTGTCTGGAATTTTAATCAGAAGGCTGTGGGTTTGATTGCCTCTTATGTAAATGTAGAAATAGAAAATGACTCTTTGAGAATTGGCTGTCTATCAATCCTAAAATCTTCCATTACTAAACCAAACCACATTTTTGTCTTGATGACTCGTTCCATTCAAAGAGGACTGGTGTTTTAAGTAAAAAAAGAGTTTAAAATTMTCTTCTGATAGTTTGGGTTTGTCACAGATGTTTTGTAGGTATTAACCTGTTTAAACACATACTCTTTTTAAAATAAAATTACCTTCTATTTTCTGTTTAATAGAAACTGTTTATTTGTTTGGTGGCTGGGATGGAACTCAGGATCTGGCTGACTTCTGGGCATACAGTGTGAAGGAAAACCAGTGGACCTGTATATCCAGGGATACTGAAAAAGAGGTAAGTTCTGCAAACATTCATATTTTTAAATTGTTGCCCACAAAAATGCCCCTTCTAAAGTGCTTATGTTGAAGTGCAGCATGAGGTGAGAGCCACAGAGTTCAGACCTTCAAGTTCTGAAGACTTTTGAAATGCTTACGTGGGGGAAGATGGGAGGTGGAGGTGGCTTTGAAGTGTTAAGATTCCTGGAGGSGAAAGGTTTATTTCTCAAAAGCAGAAACGATCAGCCAGAAATCAGCTTAGTGAGTAGAACACGAGTTAAATAATTTCATGTGTCTGAACAGCCAGACTTATCACAGAATCACAGAATGTTTTGGGTTGGAAAGGACCTTAAAGATCATCCCGTTCCAGCCCTGCTGCCATGGGCAGGGACACCTCCCACTGGAAGGTTCCAAGAACTTGCTAATGCACATTTCAGACCCAGTCCTGGTGGTTGAGCTTCAGAAAAAAATTGTTTATTTTTTTAGCTTTGGTCAAAAATGAGTAGAAATGGACAACTACCAGATGGCAATCTAGAGGATGGGAGTTTCTGCCAAAGGCTACACAACCCCGAGAGCTTTCGTGGAATTCATCTGAACCATTTTCCTTGGCCTGTTTTGCTCGGAATTTGATGTATGAAACCTGAAATGAATGTAGCTTGAGTTATAGGAGGAAACAAAAAAAACCCAATACATTTGCCTTGTGTAATTAATTTCACTCTACACTGTGAAATCTTCAAGTTCTGTGTGTTTTGTCAGAGGAAAATTCATAGTTCTTCTAGAAGGTATGAACAGTTTTGAGATCCCACCACTTTTTGATAAATTCAGGAGTTGATTATCTCAGCTGTTTGAAAACAGTATGAAAAKGTCTTGTTTATAATTTCTATTTTCCCAGTTTCTTGTCCTGGCTAATTTTGTGAGCTTCCTTACYAGGTTAAATWGCACTTTAATATTCTCATTYTTTTCATGGCAAAGGTTTTTAGCGGTTGTAATCAAGTAGGACAAACAGCCTGAGCTGAAAAATAGAATAGACTAAAATCTCACAGGCATTTCCTGTAGCCTTCAAATCTCTGTGTCATGTACTTATTGTAACATCCTTTATAAAATGGACAATAACAAAACTGAATGTGATACTCTGGTTTCTGTCATAACAGAGCTGTGGAGAGGTAAAATCGTTATATTTATGTACTGTTTAGTCAAAAAGGGACTGCTGTGTTTTCTTCCTGCACAAACCAGCGTGGGTCAGTCTGGTGTTGAACGGATTCGTTTGCTTTCTTGCAGGGGTCACACTACATCCACTTCAGTTTTTATAAAGCTTAGGAGGCCTGGCTGGGATATTTTCTCTTTAGRTTCCTCAAGCCTGACTCCAGCAGGGTAAAAATGGAATGGGAGGAAGGAGAGATGCACAAAAAGAGGGCTGTGCAGGAWACACAGTAGAAGAGTTGTGAGTTGATGTGATTAAATGATTATAAAGGAGTTTTGGAGAGAAAAAAGTTGAGAGAGTGTAATGGAGGTTCAGGAAATTTAAATGAAAGATGGGAAGGGTTGAGGGGGGAGAAGGAAGATAGAGGAATTTTTAAGAAGTGKAGACTAGTTGAATATATGAAGAAGAGATAAACAGAAAAGTGTGGAGAAATGTGGGTGGCTTTAGGAAAGGAATTCTGGAAGGGACTTTCTGTGACAAAGTTGAGAGGTGGGGCCACTGTGAGCCTTGTGGAGTTCAGCAAGGCCAAGTGTGAGGTTCTGCACATGGATGGGAGCAATTCCACAAACAGATAGAGGCCAAGCAGGGAGTGGATCCAAGAGCAGCCCTGAGGAGGAGGAAGACTTGGGGTCTTGGTGGATGAAAAGCTCGACAGGTCCTGATGAGGTGGACTGAAGCACTTCTGCCCTGGAGCCAGGCTGGGGAAGCTGGGGGTGCTCACCTGGAAAAGAGGAGGTTCCAGGGAGACCTTTGAGTCTCTTCCAGGACCTAAAAGGGGTCCAGGAGAGCAACTTTGGACAAGGGATATAGGGACATGACAAGGGGGAACAGCTTCATATACTGCAAGAGGGCAGGGTTAGATGGGATAAAAGGAACAAAGTCTTGACTGTGAGGGTGGGGAGACCCTGGCACAGGTTGTCCAGAGAAGCTGTGGCTGTCTCTGGATCCCTGAAAATGTCCAAGGCCAGGTTGGTCAGGGCTTGGAGCACCCTGGGACAGTGGAAGGTGTCCTTGCCCATTGCAGGGGGCGGCACTGGATAATCTTTAGGATCCTTTCCAACCCAAACCATTCCATGATTCTGTGATGCATTCGGCAGTGTTCAGGGGGCCTCCTGAGGCACAGTCCAGGGTTTTGRTGACTTTTCAGAGGAGCAGTGAACTGGCAGCTGCTGTGCTTGGAAACCAGGAGTGGGTTGTGGGTTTTTTTTTCCTAAAGAGATCTGGATGAAACCTGATTTAGAAATTAAAAGGTCAGTCTCAAATGTTGAGAAGTAAATTCAAAAACAAAGACTCCAGATGTTTCTCTAATAGGGACATCAACTGTTCACAAACAATTTGCAAAAAGGAAATGTCTGTTGACATGGAATTTTAAAAAATATTAAGAGTAGGTTCCAGTAGAGCTTAAATCTTGTTGTTTTGTTGTATTGTGCTGGTTCTGCTTCTGGCTTTTTTTATTCTAATTAATCAGTGACAGTGGTTAAATTAGCCACTCAATAATTAAACTTGGCCAAGAGTGAAATATGGTGAAAGTTGCATCCTGTCCAGTGCTATTGTAGGGATRATGCACAGTAATGCTTTTGGGATGAAGGTACTGGGAGCTTCTGTTGCAGTGAATTAGGAAAAGGATGTGAGACCTTTTTAGGGAGCTCTTTTGCTGCTGTTTTTCAGAGTTTTCCAGTGAGGTGTCACCTGAAGTTGCATTAGTCTTTTTTAACAATTAGACCACCAMAGCTGATTTCCATAGCCCTTGTTCACAGAGTTATTGAATAGTTTAGGTTGAAAAAGTCCCCCCAAGCCGTTCCCCCAGCACTGCCGAGCCAGCACGGACCCATATCCCCAAGTGTCACATCTTTTAAATCCTTCCAGGGTGGGAGCTGTAACCCTGCCCTGGGCAGCCATTCCAGGCATGGACAGCCCTTTCAGTGAAGAAATTTTTCCAAATATCCCRCATAAACYTCYCCTGGTGTAACTTGAGGSCATTTACTCTGCTCCTGTCYCTGCTCCCTGGAGGCAGATCCCAACCCTGCCTTGGCTCTGCCCTCTCCTGTCAGGGAGTTCTGCAGAGCCAGAAGGTCCCCCCTTCTGGAGGGAGCCTCCTTTTCTCCAGATTGAGCCTCCCCAGTTCCCTCAGCTGCTCYTGGTGYTCCAGWCCCTTTCCCAGCTCCATTCCCTTCTCTGGACRTGCTCCAGCCCCTCCAYGTCTGTCTTGTATGTCCGGACAAAATGCTCCGGGCACTGCCAGAGCAGCTGATTTCTTAMAGCCTGAAAAAGAGGGTCTGGAGGCCCTGCTGGTGAACACAGCACCACTGCTGACAGACAGACAGACCCCACCATCCCTTCAGAGTATGAATCCAGCAGGACTCTAGCTCTGCATGTCAAATCCTGTCCTTCAAGCCTGTATCCTTCCAGGGAGATACTCTATGGAGCAGCTCAGGACCTCTCAGCTTACCCACAGCTTCTGTCTCTGGAGTGTGACARCCCTGTGAATCAGCTGGCACAAGGCACAGCCAAAATATATTTCATTTAAGAGCCTTTTAAGAGTTTTTAGCCTGAATCAAGTGGAATGTTCTGAGAAATGCTGTTGTCTTCAGCTTTTATTAGTGGCTGTAGGTCAACAGAGCTCTTCAGGATTAGGGAATAAATAGTTTTAAAAAACCAAACCTTGTCATTCCTTGGACATTTTTATTCTAGGCCAATGTCAGTTAAGAGAGAAACTTAGTGTGTGTTTTGGTGTCTAATATTTCTAGTTTCCAAGCATCAGCTTTCTCTTTTGAAGGGTAATTTAGTGAAACTCAGTGCAGGAGGACAGTTTTAAATGTAGGAAAGACTTCATTTCGTGTAAATTGATAGTCATGGGGATTTTGAAATAGRATCAAAATGCTGAGGGATGTTGATGCCTCTGGARATCAGATAAATGAGACTRAAGTAGTGTGATAGTTGGYATATTYTGTGTGTCACTGGTGTTCYTGTACCTTGTTTTAGCATTTCCTAGAGACAAGATGAGAGATGGGGGATCTCCCTTCAAACAGTGTCACTGCACTGATTGGTACCTTCTGTGGYGCTTCTTGGAAAATACATTGACTCATCCTCATTCTGGTGTCTTCAGAGGAAAGCCCTGCTCACAAATCAGTTCTGTGAAGGATGTGGAAATTGTGTAAATGGGTTAGGTTTAGATGACACTGTGTTTCTCTCAAAAATTTTTGAAGTGTTTTCTTGCCAAAGGTAGWAGTAAAGGTCTTGTCATGGTTTAACTGCTTGAGAGGATAAATCTTACCTCACAATGAAGGAAAGTGTAGGTCAACAAGTGTCTCCTGTTCACTAGGTTCAAAATGATGTAGAAAATGGGTGTATTGTGAGGTGACAGTTTGCTGTGAACACCRAGTGCTTTTCCAGGATGCTGAAAGTAAAAGCTGACAAGTGTAGAAAGATCTAATGGTGAGAGCCAGGGGGAATTTCAGCTGCTGTTGTATTTCCAGTTACATTTTCTCCAGTCTCTGCATACATTTCTTTACATTTGTTGATGTGGATGAATTTATCCAAAGCTTACCATGTCATATTACCACAGAAGCATTTTTGTAAGTGTTTCTGACACCTCTGACTGATTTTTTGGGGTGTGATGCAGCAGTACATGAGCTTATCAATGTAAAGCTTTTACCCTGTGCTGTTTGAAGTGTAGGAATTGAGCTAGTCTCAAATATTGACTTCTTCCCACAGATGGTGATACGGTTTGGAAGACACTTCAAGTAACTTGAGGGGCTTTTTGTTTCAAATATTGTGATGTTTACGGACTTGAGATCTAATACACTGAGTGTGCCATG